GGGCCAACTTAAATGGTTTTGTCCAAACCCATAGGCCTACCTCTTTTATCCGGCCCATTTAGGTTTGGAATTACCAAAATTAGGGCCTCAAACTGCCAGCAAAGGAATGAAGGAACTATTGAGGAAATCAAACGCAAAACTTGATCTCTACACCTTTTATAAAAGCTGGAAGCCAAAAACCCAAACACCATTTCAAATTTTGGATGCTCAGAGCGTTTGTAGGAAGGACATTTTGGTCTTCACAATTACTTTTTTTTATTCATTAAAAAGACACGTACTGGGATTCGAACCATGACCATTTTAAAGAAAAGCAAGGATAATAACCAATCACACTAAGTACATTTGTTGTATCTTTTTAAATTAAAAACATATAATAGCAGGGAGGAAAAAACCCTCCCCAGTTCAAATTACTTGCTCCAGGAGCGTTTGTAGGAAGGGTATAATAGGGAATGTAAATTTTTTTCTCTTTCCGCTGTGGAACGGGACAACTTACCGTACACATGAGAATTTAAACGGGTCTAGGAGTGTCAATTTTTTTTCTTTAAGCCCTTTTATTTCTCCGTTGATAAAATATATATGAAAAGGCAAAAATAATACTCCTTTTTATTGTTAAAAATAAAAAATTTAACAATAAACTAATGCATGGTATCTAATGGGCTAACCGCTAACCATCTACACCTTTTATAAAAGCTGGAAGCCAAAAATCCAAACACCATTTCAAATTTTGGATGCTCAGAGCGTTTGTAGGAAGGACATTTTGGTCTTCACAATTACTTTTTTTTATTCATTAAAAAGACACGTACTGGGATTCGAACCATGATCATTTTAAAGAAAAGCAAGGATAATAACCAATCACACTAAGTACATTTGTTGTATCTTTTTAAATTAAAAACATATAATAGCAGGGAGGAAAAAACCCTCCCCAGTTCAAATTACTTGCTCCAGGAGCGTTTGTAGGAAGGGTATAATAGGGAATGTCAATTTTTTTCTCTTTCCGCTGTGGAACGGGCCAACTTACCGTACACATGCGAATTTAAACGGGTCTAGGAGTGTCAATTTTTTTTCTTTAAGCCCTTTTATTTCTCCGTTGATAAATATATATGAAAAGGCAAAAATAATACTCCTTTTTATTGTTAAAAATAAAAAATTTAACAATAAACTAATGCATGGTATCTAATGGGCTAACCGCTAACCATAAAATAAAAGAGTTGAATGGGTCTGACTTACATGGAATTTGGCCATCAAGTAAAACAAATGAACATCAATGGTTTGTCATTCTAAAACAAGCTATTTTCTCTGACATAATATATATTATGCTATTATTTTAGATCTTAGTGGCTAAAATATAATATATTTTAAAGTTATTCAATGGTTCAACCTCGACCAACCCAATTAGTCCAATTTTTATCATTTCAAATATGTATTTTATAATTATTTGATATCATAATGATCAAATTATAGTGTATTTTATAGGGAATAGTTTGGTATTTGTTAGTAAAAAATTAAAAATAAAGATCTATTTGGTTATTTTAAACATTAAAACCATCCTAAACATTTTCAGTTCCTTTTGAATTTCTATGGTTTTATTCCCGAATAAGTGATGTGAAAATGGCGAATTGTAGTCGTCTTTTTCTTTCACTATTTTTTATTTTCAAATAGAAAGTTTAAAAGTAAAGAATAATTAGAATTTGGCATGGGTCGGTCAAACAGGCTGAATTTCAAGTTTTCGCCCATTTGTTTTATGCATTGCAAATTTATTAGCATGTTGATGGAAATGGCTTGAAAAAAAGACATATAAGTTGTACCTTTGCAGAAATGTCCTCAAATGTTTGAATGCTTTGTGAATCAGGTTCTGTGACTTTGTGATGGTGTATGTGCTTGACGTTGCTCGATGTTGTAACTACTTAATTTGAGAGTAAATCTTTTGATTTTCCCTATGAGTTGTGATACCAGTTCTGGTGGTTGCAGCACGTTGTCGTTGTTGGCCTGTAAAAGTTGTTCCGCCGTGATGCTAAATACCTTTCTTTCTTTTTTAACAAATTGTGTAGTAGTGCTATGAAACAGACCACCCATGAACTCTACGCTTATTATGGTCTGTTCTTACTTCCGGTGGTGAGAAATTGTGAATTGAGAATCATATTCGCCTACTGCACTGTGTCTGGCTGGTGGCTGCTTACTGTGCTCTCTAGAGTTATGAAACAGACTACCCATGAACATTACCCTTAAGAGTCCATAACTTTGCGAAAAACCAAATTTAGGCAATCAAAGGTGGTGGATGTGTGATGATTTTTTATGGCTTAATTGTTTGTGAATTGGATATCTGATCTTTGTATGATTAGAGGGGATGTTTGCTTAATAGAATAATCCATTTTAATTCATGTTTATTTTTAACATGAACTTTAGTAACTCAAAACCTTCGAGACACATATCATCTACTGCATTGTATCATTTTGCCTGGGTGCTTGCTGTGTTGTCAAACTTCTTTGCTGCTGCATTTACACTAACAGGGGACTTAAGAACCCATGAATGTTTCCGTTTGACACAAACAGGAGGACTTGCTTCTAAATCGTGCACTAAATATGATTGGAGGAAACATCTCTGTTGCAGTTGATATACTGGAGACCAGAACAAAAACAACGTATAACATCAAAACCAACCATCTGAACTATTAGCATTGTTGCTTTACTCTTTTTTCGTGGTTGAGTCTCCATCAAAAAATTTAGTTTGATTTTAGAAAATTTTGCTTCTGCAGTCCTGTCTTGCCACCAACGCGTTCAGTAGATGGAGATGGCAGAGGCGAAGACTTTTTTTGTGTTGTTGTTGCTGGTTTAGGGATCGCTTTGTGAAGAAGAGGGAGAAGAGAGGGGGAAAGGGAAATGCATGAGAGGGGGATAACTCTTTTCTCCGACAAAAATGGAGTGAAGAAAGGAATTATGATCAGTAAGGATATGGTTATCTTACATAACGGGCTCTATTCTGTTTGAATTGAGCTTGGGAGGCAGTGATAAGGACGAGCTGCCACCAATTCATAGTGAGAAGAGAGATATGAACTATGATCATGTCTTATTTCAAGTAAGAAAGTAGTTTCAGTATAAGGATTATTTAATTTGACAAGTTGTTTCATCCATGATTCTTGGTAGTTTCAGTGTCATTCTAGCCATAGTTTAGTCTGTAATTTTTGAGAATTGATGTACGAGTAATGACTTTCACTTAGCTTCAACTATTATGTGTGTATTTATTGGCATGTGATAGAATTCTCTTTTCTTTTTCTTTGAATTCAGTTTCATACTCTAATTGTATCATTTGTACATAGGCAAATCATGCTCGAGATGACAACTCGCTGATATGGCTGGTGCAAGGAATGAAGCCATCATTAGAATTCAGACCGACAACGGGGAGGGATGCCCAAGACTAATTCAATGATGATTGATGATGATATAATAAAAACTGCAGTCTGCATCAGCACCAATTTCTAGGCCTAAGTAAAGTTATTCAACCCAGAACTCTGCTTAGCGCTAAAAATTACGCTCACCCAACCTTGATCCTGTTTGACCCACTTCTGAAGAGTCAAGATATATGACTAATCCTCCCCGTTCGTATTTTCTTATTGACTCTTTCTGACCCTTTAGGTTGGGGCGGGTCGGGAAGAATCGGATTAGTGGGTCGGTCCTAATCAAGTGGAATCTCAATCCCTTCACTCTCACTTGCTTTCTCTCCCATTCCACAAGTGGGTAACATACAGTAATCCGGCCAACGGGCCGGGTGATAAGCTAGTTAAGTTTAGGGGTGGGAAACGGTGCGGTTGCGATTAACTGCACCGCAATTTGCGGTTAACTGCAACCGCAAAACACTCATATTAGCCAACCGCGACCGCGTCCCTTACGGTAGCGATTAACCAAAAACCGCAGGACGCGGTTAGCAGTGAACCGCGGTTTATGGTTGTAAAAACCGCAACAACCGAAACAGTATACGAAACCGCAGTTAAGCAATCTAACCGACATTTAACCGCGAACAAACCACAAAAAATTCATGGAAAAAAAACACAGCAACTGCTGTTTTGTCTATTTTCACTTCCATCAAGCCCCTGCATCTATCTGCATATCCAAATAACACAATCCACAAATGCACACGCCGGACTGCCAGGGACGGCGGCGGGCGGATGGCAGCGCCGCAGCGGGAAGATGGGAAGGGTCGAAGCTCGACTCGAAGGGTTTTCAGTTGCTAGTGGGAAGGGACGAAACGAAGGGTCGAAGGGGATTTTCGATTTTTGTTTCGTCAAATCAAAACGACTGCAGGGAGAAGTGGGGGAGGGGCCGGGTCGGGTTTGGGCTGCTGCCTGCTGGGCTGGGGGTCAACTTTGGACTGGGCTGGGGGTCAATTATGGGCTGGGTCAGGGTCGCGGTTAGCCTTGCGGTTATATGGATTTGCGGTTTCGGTTGCGGTTAAACCGCAAACAGCAAAACAGCCCATATCTCCAACCGCGATCGCAAAATAGGCAAAATATGCGGTTTGCGGTTAACCAATAACCGCGCGATTTCGGTACGATTATCGGTTTAACCGCGAAACCGCAATCGTTTTCCCAGCCCTAATTAAGTTGTCAGGTAAATTGACTGAGTTGTCCTTCTGTAAAACATTCACAGGCCAGCAAATTCAAAATGCTGGAAATCCAACTCATGAATCCATATTATATATATACAAGCTCACGGTCAGACCTGTCCTTCCCCTTTTCCCTAGGGATGGCAATGGGTCGGGTTGGGGCGGGTTTTGTCAAACCCAAACCCATGGGTTTATCAGCCAAAAAAACCCGGGGTAAAACCCGCTGGGTTTGAAAAACTCAAACCCAACCCAACCCGCTGGGTTTCCGCGGGTTCATGGGTACCCGTGGGTTTTTGTGGTAAAAAATTTACAATAACAAGTTTCTTTCAAAATAAATGTTTAACATCAATTTTCTCATACAAATTATTCATACAAAAACACCAATCTAGAGCATACAAGCAAACCGCAAATGATCAAATACAAATTGTTCAAAATTAAAGATAAACATCTATAAACAATAAGATTAATTGAAATCTTCTTCCTCGTCAACTAAGTTTCTTCACTCTCCACTTCATAATATCAACTTCATTCTAAACAATTAGAAAGAACAAATTATACATGTCTCCACAAACATAAAGAATATTAGTTGTTTAAGGAAGATATATTATTTAGAATATTAAATATACTGGGAAAGTAATTATATGTGTGTGGGCGGGTACCCATGGGCGGATTTACCTAAACCCAAACCCGACCCGGTGAATAGTGTAGCAGGTTTAAACCCGAACCCGGCCCAAAACCCGTCAACACGGATTTTACCCGCGTTGACCGGGTTGGATCGGGTGGGTACCCGTGGGTTCGGGTTTTGTTGCCATCCCTTCCCCACTGACATAGCTAAGCATCAGATCTTCCGGTCTTTTATCAGCTTCGAGATTATCAACATCGAGAGCTTCCTCCAGTGCTTGTGCTTGAGTTCGAGCCTGTTCAGCTTTCTCTGTGAAGAGATGCATAAAGTGCTTGATTACCTCCTCCAACGTGTTCACATTCACTTGTTGACACACTATGCGATACTGTATCAGCCCATCCTTGGCAAATCTCCCTCCTCTCATCTCGACGCACAGCTCAACATATTTAAACATGATCCGCTCAAGTGTCTTCTGACATGCTGGATACCTCTTCGAGGTTATCAGGTTGTGCAGCGTCTGGAGAGCCTCTTGCTTCTGTCCAACAGCTATCAGCTCTGCAAGCCACAGAATAACAAAAACAACACCATGACTTTTCAATCATAGAAAAATTACGAAATCAACACCAAGATAAAAAAAAAATTCGATAATCAAAACCAATCCATCATTACTACCCCTCCTAAGCACATTCCACACAATTGGAAGTCCAATCCATCTCCTACAACATCCAACTCAATAAAGGCACAAATTCCATACTTCCCTTGCAAGAAACAACTGACTGAGGCATTTATACCACAACCTAGATTCACCATCCACATACTTTAGAGTTTGATTAAGAACTTCCAAAGGAAATGAGAGAAACAAACCTTCAGCGCGCTTAAGCGCGTTCTCCGGCTTGGCAAAATTCGACATGGCGCTACAAAATCAAAACCTCTCCGACCTGCCAGAAAACGAATACACACAAACTTTAGATGTAATCGCAAGAAGAGAAGAAATACAAGCGCGCACCTCAGCCGCAACAAGGCCGTAGTCGACAGGCGACGAGAGAAACCAGAAAAATGCTCCGATCAGTGAAACCGATCTCGGAGCAGTGGCGAAAGTAGACGGAGGAGGAGGGAGACGATTGACCTTGGGAGAGCGACGATGACAGTGGTTGTGGTTGTGGTTGTGGTTGCGCTGGCGGCAGCGGCTGGGATTAAAGCCGTTACGGAGCGCAGTCTGGTTTTTTTGTTCTCTGAGACTGAGAGGAGGAGGAGAAGAGTGAGATTCTTGGGCACTGGAGGGTTTGAGGGTGTTAGGGTAAAGTGAGAGAAGAAGATTAAAACTCGTGCGTTTTGGATTTCTAGTTTTTATTGTTTGGAATCAGTTTTTTTTTTCTTTCCAATTTCCATCTCAACATAATGGGCCTAAGCCTTTCCTCAAAAAGATAAACATATTTGAGCTAAGCCCATATATGTTTGTTTACTATGGAGCTCTTTTATCAAGCCGATAGTACCCAGTTATGGTTTTCGAAAACGAGTCTTCCGGCCTCTAGTTGAGATTTATGGGTGACCAAAAAGAACGCAACCCGACTCATTTGTAAGAGCATCTCCATCAATATTATTGCAAAAGAAATTGTATTTGTGTTTTTTTATTGTCAATTCAAATTTTTTGCAATACACATCACATTCATTTCATTCACCTACATCAATGCAACTAGCGTGGCCCCGGCCAGTTGGCCAGAGGAAGGTGAGGTATGAAATTTGAGAATGTAGTAAGGTGTATAGCTTTTTGTTGTATATTCTTTTTGGGAATCACGTTATAAAGATAGTAAATTTTAGCAGGAAAGCGGCATGGATGATGCAACGAATCAACAATCAGCCTTATGAACCAAGTTCGAGTACCTGTTACCTTGTGAAACAATATTATTTCTGGTAATATAATGAGGTGGAGTAAAGTTTATAGAAAACCGAATAAAAAATTGCTTATAAAATACATTATAATTTAATCATTACGATATCAAATAATTACATAATATATATTTGAAATTATAAAAATTAGACTAATCTGGTTGATCGAGGATGAACCATTTTAATAACTTTAAAATACATTATATTTAGCCACTCAGATATAAAATAATAGCATAATATATGTATGCTCGAGAAAATAGCTTGTTTTAGAATGACAAACCCATGATGTTCATTTGTTTTACTTGATGGCCAAATCCCGTATGAGTCAGGCCCATTCAACTCTTTTATTCTATGGTTAGCGGTTAGCCCATTAGAATTCATGCATAGTTTTATTGTTAATTTTTTTCTTTTTAGCAATACAAAAGAAGTATTGTTTTTGCCATTTCGTATATATCTTACCAACACCGAGGAATAAAAAGGATTAAAGGAACCCCTATATCCCTAGAAAAAGCTTCTCAGTGCTCACCGACACATGGTTCACTTCTCTCTCTCGATCTCAATTATATCGCCGCCGATAGTCACTTCTCCTCATCCTCGTTTTCCTGATGTTAATTTTAGCTCTGCAAACCTTTTCCATGCATGTCATCCTCCCCCTGAACCTCAATTTCAACTATCCCCTCTCGGTCTCTGTTTTTCATTTCTTAATCTGCCCTTCTCTTATCACTTGTTTAAACCCCCTCTTTGTCTATCTTCGACGCTAGTTTAACCAAGAAGAAGAGAAAGCCACCAATCTTCAATAAATACTGTATTGTTACAGTGAAGTGATATTGTGGATTTCTTTGTCACTTATCTGTTAGAGTTTATGAATGATTAAAAGGGGTGGTTGATTACAATTTGATTAGAAAACATTTCAAATCATAAAAATGATGATACTGAAAAGGAGTATTATAACAAAGCAACAAAAAGTATAGTTATTTATCTTTAATCAACTCAAAAGTCAACATAGAAGATCAACAAAATGAACTGATGTTAAGAGTTCATATATTACTATCAAAGAAACTAAATAACCCATCAGTACGCTCACCAAGCAAGAACACTCAACCTTTACATATTTACCCCTCCAAAAATTGCTTTGCGTAACAATATAGGTGGAGGAGGTTAGGCGGTTGTCGAGTCCGATGGAAAGGTTTGGACAGACGGTGATAGTTGAGCCTTTAGTAGGACGGGAGCCCGGGACACTATTTATCTTTAATCAACTCAAAAGTCAACATAGAAGATCAACCAAATGAACTGATGTTAAGAGATTACACATTACTGTCAAAGAAACTAAATAACCCACCAGTCAGCTCTCCAAGCAAGAACACTCAATCTTTCCATATTTACCCATCCGAAAATTGCTTTGCGTAACAATATAGGCGGAGGAGGTTAGCGGTTGTCGAATCCGGTGGGAAGGTTTGGAGAGACGGCGATGGTTGAGCGTTTAGTATGTAGTCGGGACACCATTTAGACCTATTTACATTAGTTGCGGCTTTTCAATCCGCATTCGACAAATTAACATCACTCAACCTTTCAGTATTTACCCCTCTCTTAAAAACACATGTGCCACATATTCACTCAAAACTTCTATGTTCAAAAATATTGTTGATTTATGGTAGTTATATTATTTAAGCTATGTCAAGAATTTTGCATCGCTTCTACACATTCAATACTGCAATTCGATGTGCAATATTTGCACCAATAACATTAGCCTTGCAATTATAAAATTATTCTCATTTTATAAAATAAATAAAAATAGAATTTATTATTAAACTCGAATTAAAATAATCAAAGTATGAAAATAGAAGTATCAGATACCAAAACATTATTTAGGGGAGAGTTAGTGGCTTAGCTAACTATGATGGAAAATTCCAATGATTTTCAGATTTAAGCTTGTATATTTTTAATTTAAAATTTTTAAACAAATTTGTTTAGTGTAACTGTTTAAGTTTCTTGTCTTTTCTCAAAGAGATCACAATTCAAATCCCATCACTTATGTATTTTTCCTGTAAATAAGAAAATAATAAATGACTATGAAGACAAATCTATCCTTTCTACTTATGCTATGGATGCAAGGATTTTGTAATGGGGGAAACACCTTTCACATTTCACTCTTATATTAAGTGTACCAAAAGTAACCCGGTGGTTGAGTGTTTAGTTGGTCGGACACTATTTGGGTCTGTTTACATTAGTAGCACATTTTCCATTTGCGTTGGGCAAACCAACAACACTCAATCTTTCCTTATTTATCCCTCCAAAAATTGCTTTGGCTTAATAATAGAGGTAGAAGAGGTTAGCTGGTTGTTGAGTCTAATGAGAAGTTTGGAGAGACGATGATGGTTGAGCGTTTAGTGGGTCGGGAAACTATTTGGGTCCATTTACATTAGTAGTGTTTTTTCCATCCACGTTCGGCAAACCAACATCACTCAACATTTCCATATTTACCCCTCTCTTAAAGACACATGTGCCCCATATTCACTCAAAAGTTCTGTGTTAAAAATATCGTTACTTTATGATAGTTATAACAATTAAGTCTATGTTAAGAATTCTACATCGCTTCTACAAATTCAAGAGTGCAATTCGATATGCAATGTTTGAATCAATGACATTTCGGTTGCTAGCCTTGGTGGAAAACTCCTATATTTTTCCAGATTTAAGCTTCCTGTATGTTTTTAATTGCAAAAGATCACACAAATGTGTTTATTGTAACTGGTTATGTTTCTTATCTTTGTTCAAATAGACCACGATTCAAATCTCATTACTGTTGTATTTTTTCTGTAAATAAGAAAATAATAAGTGATTGTGCAGACGAATCTATCCTTCCTACTTTCACTCTGGATGCAGGAAATTTGAAATGGGGCTTCAAGTTTTCTCATTTGACTTTTATTTATTGTGTAGATATTTTTTTTGTCATAGATAGATAGTAATAGATAGAGTGTTACAATGCAGTGAAAATAAAAGAGCGGTAGTCAACCAAAAGGGTTGCTACCGATGCAAGGACCGTTTATGCCACACAATAGGCAGCCCTGTTAGTATGCCTACAAACATAAAAAAAACGAATAAACGCAAAAGAAGTCTTCTTCCGGCAAACTTCTGGAAGAACCTTCTATCAGCCAATTTATGCCGAGCACAAAACCTGCAATCAACACCCAACAAATGTACCAAACACAAGTGTATAATTAAATATATCATTGAGTAAGAATTAAAAGTCGTAAACTAAACGTGGTTATGAACCACATGTGGAATCGTGACCGCATATCCGTCGTAATTATAACTGTCCTGTACTTGTAACCGTCAGAATCGTTCTCCATCTGAGATTGAAGGTTCCGATTTGTAACTGCCACCGGAATTTGGATGCCGGAATTGAAAGTGTGAAGAGGAAACATAATCATCATTGCTATACACTAGTCCGCCAAATTGCCAACCATTGTGTCGCTGTATCAACAGTTCTGGCATTGATGAAGCCTGCAAAATGAACAAACGAAATATGGCCACTCAATGGCACTCAATATCTCCTTGAAAACGGAGTCAATGAGGCCCATAACTCATAAGCCACTGGCCATAATCCGAATAACAAAACAGAGTAGTATGTAAACGCGTCAAGGAGAGGTAGACCAGAATCGCTGACTGAGCATGAACTGGAAGGTCGCCGAAAAGAGGGAAAGCGAAAAAACCGCGCAGTTAAAAGAAGGCCTCAGATCTGCCACAATAACTGATTGTGAACCTGCTCCCCACCGGTCGGCTACACCTTCCTCCATTCCAATTGCTCCTTGCGCTGGGGGTGGATCCTTCTGAAATGCAGATGATTGATGCCCTCCCCGTCGCTTCAGGATTGTCTTCGTGTTCCTTCGCTACACCATGTGCCTGTGTATTCTTGTCTTCAAGTGGATCTGCGCCTGCGGAAGAAGAAGAAGGTCGTCGCGACACTGTTTCCTCTCCCGGCTTGATCTTGGCGACCATCCCCTGCCTCGCCTAGGCCGGATTTCGTTGATGGGGAACCGACGGATGCAAAGAAACTGTCCACCACCTGTCACCGCCGCATCTCCAAAGCCGCTGCAGTTGGCAAACCGAACCCACCGCTCCAACCGTCCAATCCTTTGGCAACCGTAGTGGTCTTGTTGGAATTCTTTTATATATGAAATGCGGGTACGCTTTATTGGCCCAACTTCTTGGTTACTGTTTCACTTTTCGTCATCTAGCGAAGGGAGAAATAATAAAGCTTCTTACTTTTGCTCTATCAATACACTCGGTCCATGTCTACAATGTCGTCCCTTCATTCATCGTCTGGAATCTAGGTCCCATCTCCCTCTTCTCATTCACTGCCTCTCCTACCCTCTCATCAATTTCAGACAACTATGCTTTTCTGTATCCCCATCCTCT